TTGGTTGACCATCTTCTTTAGAAAGTGAAAGGGTTAACTTTGTGCTGGGTGTGTTTTACTAGGGGGCCATGTGTTTGTGCTTCACTGTAAGCACACTGCTTTGTATGGCTATGCTGTGCACAGCCATGCAAAGCGGTATGCACGAGCTGACAGGGAGAAGAACTGTTTTGTTTATAAACAGTTCTCCACCCATCAGAGATCTTCAGCAATCACCGGGCGCTGGCGAGTAATCACCGGCCAGGACCCGGAGATTGACAGCCGTGGCCACAAATGGCGATGCGGGTAGGGCGCGCCCCCTACCCGGAACTGCAAAATCAAACGTGTATGTGTATGTATATATATATATATATATATATATATATATATATATATATATATATATATATACAGTCATACAGTCATGGCCGAAATTGTTGGCACCCTTGATATTTCTCCAGGAAATCATGTATTTCTCACGAAACGTATTGCATTAACACATGTTTTGCTATACACATGTTTATTCCCTTTGTGTGTATTGGGACAAAACAAAAAAAGGGAGGAAAAGAAAAAATGGGCTGGACAAAATGGGCTGGACAAAAGTATTGGCACCCTTTCACAACTGCGGATAAATAAGAATGTTACAAGCATGTGATGCTCCTGTAAACTCACCTGGGGCAAGTAACAGGTGTGGGCAATATAGAAATCACACCTGAAAGCAGATAAAAAGGAGAGACGTTCACTTAACCTTTGCATTGTGTGTCTGTCTGTGCCACACTAAGCATGGACAACAGAAAGAGGAGACGAGAACTGTCTGAGGACCTGAGAACCAAAATTGTGGCAAAATATCAACAATCTCAAGGTTACAAGTCCATCTCCAGAGAACTAGATTTGCCTTTGTCCACAGTGCGCAACATTATCAAGAAGTTTGCAACCCATGGCACTGTAGCTAATCTCCCTGGTCGTGGACGGATGAGGAAAATTGATGAAAGATTGCAACGCAGAATAGTCCGGATGGTGGATAAGCAGCCCCAAACATGTTCCAAAGACATTCAAGCTGTCCTGCAGGCTCAGGGAGCATCAGTGTCAGCGCGAACTATCCGTCGACATTTAAATGAAATGAAACGCTATGGCAGGAGACCCAGGAGGACCCCACTGCTGACACAGAGACATAAAAAAGCAAGACTACAGTTTGCCAAAATGTACTTGAGTAAGCCAAAAGCCTTCTGGGAAAACGTCTTGTGGACAGATGAGACCAAGATAGAGCTTTTCGGTAAAGCACATCATTCTACTGTTTACCGAAAACGGAATGAGGCCTACAAAGAACAAAACACAGTACCTACGGTAAAATATGGTGGAGGTTCAATGATGTTTTGGGGTTGTTTTGCTGCCTCTGGCACTGGGTGCCTTGACTGTGTGCAAGGCATCATGAAATCTGAGGATTACCAAAGGATTTTGGGTCGCACTGTAGGGCCCAGTGTCAGAAAGCTGGGTTTGCGTCCAAGATCCTGGGTCTTCCAGCAGGACAATGACCCCAAACATACGTCAAAAAGCACTCAGAAATGGATGGCAAAGAAGCGCTGGAGAGTTCTGAAGTGGCCAGCAATGAGCCCAGATCTAAATCCCATTGAACACCTGTGGAGAGATCTTAAAATTGCTGTTGGGAAAAGGTGTCCTTCCAATAAGAGAGACCTGGAGCTGTTTGCAAAGGAAGAGTGGTCCAAAATTCCGGGTGAGAGGTGTCAGAAGCTTATTGATGGTTATAGGAAGCGACTGATTTCAGTTATGTTTTCCAAAGGGTGTGCAACCAAATATTAAGTTAAGGGTGCCAATACTTTTGTCCAGCCCATTTTTGGGGTTTTGTGTGACATTATGTCATATTTGCTTTTCTGCCTCTGTTTTATATTTGTTCCAATACATACAAAGGGAATAAACATGTGTATAGCAAAACATGTGTTAATGCAATACCTTTTTTGTGTGAAATACTTGATTTTCAGGAAAAATATCAAGGGTGCCAACAATTTCGGCCATGACTGTATATATATATGTATATGTATATATATATATATATATATATATATATATATATATATATATATATATATATATATATATATATATATACACATATACATATATATATACACACACACACACACACACACACACACACACACACATACATACATACACGTGATTTTGCGCACCTATACCGCCCTGTAGCAGTACTTCTGCTATGGACAGACAGGAAGCGGTTAAAGTTCTCATTCTCCTTCACTCACTAGAAAGACTAATTATATATATATATATATATATATATATATATATATATATATAAAAAGTCTATAAACTAATGTTAACATCCGGTGGACTGTTTGATACAAAAATTACACAATGCCTTGAGATTTTCCACATTCTGTCATGTTACAACCAAAAACGTAAATTTTTTTATTGGGATTTTATGTGATAGCCCAACACAAAGTGGCATTATGAAGTGTAAGGAAAATGATAAATGGTTTTAAAAATTTTTTACTAATAAATATCTGAAAAGTGTGGTGTGCATTTGTATTCAGCCCCCTTTACTCTAATACCCCTAACTAAAATCTAGTGGAACCAAATGCCTTCAGAAGTCACCTAATTAGTAAATAGAGTCCACCTGTGTGTAATTTAATCTCAGTATAAATACAGCTGGTCTGTGAAGCCTTCAAAGGTTTGTTAGAAAACATTAGTGAACAAACCACATCATGAAGGCCAAGGAACACAACAGACAGGTAACGAATAAAGTTGTGGAGAAGTTTAAAGCAGGGTTAGGTTATACGAAAATATCCCAAGCTTTGAACATCTCACGGCGCACCGTTCAATCCATCACTCAAAAATGGAAAAAATATGGCACAACTGCAAACCTACCAAGACATGGCCGTCCACCTAAACTGACAGGCCGGGCAAGAGGAGCATTAAACAGAGAAGCAGCCAAGAGGCCCATGGTAGCTCTGGAAGAGCTTCAGAGATCAACAGCTCCAGTGGGAGAATCTGTCCACAGGACAAATATTAGTCGTGCACTTCACAAATCTGGCCTTTATGGAAGAGTGGCACGAAGAAAGCCATTGTTGAAAGAAAGCCATAAGAAGTCCCCTTTGCAGTTTGCAAGAAGCCATGTGGGGGACACAGCAAACATGTGGAAGAAGGTGCTCTGGTCAGATGGGACCAAAATTTAACTTTTTGGCCTAAAAGCAAAATGCTATGTGTGGCAGAAAACTAACACTGCACATCACCCTGAACACACCATCCCAACCGTGACACATGGCAATGGCAGCATCATGTTGTGGGGGTGCTTTTCTTCAGCAGGGACAAGAAAGCTGGTCAGAGTTGATGGGAAGATGGATGGAGCCAAATAAAGAGCAATCTTAGAAGAAAACCTGTTAATAGTCTGCAAAGGACTTGAGACTGGGGCGGAAGTTCACCTTCCAGCAGGACAATGATCCTAAACATACAGCCAGATCTACAATGGAATGGTTTAGATCAAAGCATATTCATGTGTTAGAATGGCCCAGTCCAAGTCCAGACCTAAATCCAATTGAGAAGCTGTGGCAAGACTTGAAAACTGCTGTTCAAAGACGTTCTCCATCCAATCTGAAGAATGGGCAACAATTTCACTCTCTAGATGTGCAAAGCTGGTAGAGACATACCCAAAAAGACTTGCAGCTGTAATTGCAGCGAAAGGCGGTTCTACAAAGTACTGACTCGGGGGCTGAATACAAAAGGACACCACACTTTTCATACATTTATTTGTATAAAAATTTGAAAACCATTTATCATTGTCCTTCCACTTCACAATTATTTGCCATTTTGTGTTGGTCTATCACATAAAATCTGAATAAAATACATTTACGTTTTTAGTTGCAACATGACAAAATGTGGAAAATTTCAAGGGGTATGAATACCTTTTCAAGGCATTGTAGCTCTACACTATTGTGCATTAATTATTAGTGTGCAATTAATTATTGGTCATCCTCATCATAATAATTGGCAGTTGCTTGACCAATTACTGTGCATCTAACATACCTGTCAGAAATTTCTTTTGCTATTATGTGAATCTTGGATGTTGTTCAATGAGCACAAACATGTAGAAATCCAATGGGATCATTTGTGTTGTCATATTTGCACAACTGTCAACATATTGAGGACTGCTAACCCAATGATTTCAGCTCAGTACCAATCATCCTCATCATACTAGTGACACTAGCATTACCAATTACTGGTCATCCTCATTAAAAGGTGAAACAACTGTCACTAATTATAATATGTGGTACTGTATTGTATAGGGCTTCAATGTTATATCTTTGATGTTGCTCACTGAGCAAAAAGATGCATCTTTTATCTGATAATTGCATGAAAGTGTTGCAAATACAAAGCAAATTGTAGTTTGTTTTTTTTGTTAAATTGTGGCATCAGAAATACAGGCAATATTGTTGGATGAAAACTGTAGTTGTGTTGAAAATTTTGACAGGGTGGTGACTTTCACCAGTGGGTCCCAGTCCACCGCTGATGAAATAGACATGTAATGCCGTTCACTCCCAAAGAACTAGTACACTTCCCAAAAGACAAGAACTATAAAACATATTAACAAAAGGTTTTGAATACACTATAAAAATAATGTTTTTTTTTCTGTATTTTGGACCATGTATTAATTAACCACTTGCCCTCCTGAGGATTTACCCCCCTTCCTGACCAGGCCATTGTTTGCGTTACGGTGCTGCATTATTTTAACTGACAACTACGCAGTGATGCAACACTGCACCCAAATGAAATTTAGGTCCTTTTTTAAAACAAATTGAGCTTTCGTTCAGTGGTATTTGATCGCTGTGCATTTTTTACTTTTCTGCGCTATGAAAAAAAAAAGACAGTTTTGAGGAAAAAAAAACAATATTTTTAGCTTTTTGCTATTAAACATGTCCAGTAAAAAATTTAAAAAAATCTAATTTCATCATACATTTAAGCCAAAATGTATTCTACCCCAATACATGTAAATTAATTGGTTTACATGAAATATATAGCATTTACAAATGGCAGAGTATATACTGGGATTGTTTTTCATTTTTACTAGTAATGACGGCCATCAGCGACTTACAGCGAGACTGCGGGACGTCGGTAGGCATTCTCACACTGGGGGGAACTTACTTGGTGTCACTGACATACCCAGTGACACCGGTATAGTGATCAGTGCTAATAAAAAGCACTGACACTGTACTAATGGCACTGGGCAGGAAGGGGTTAACATGAGGGGTGATCAAAGGGTTAACTGTGTGCTGTGTGTATGTTTTACTGTGTGTTTGTGCTTCACTGTAAACACACTGCTTTGCATGGCTGTGCTATGCACAGCCATGCAAAGCAGTGTGCAGGAGCTGACATGGGAGAGAACTATTTTGTTGACACAGACAGCAGGACTCTGCCCCGCCCTCTCCTCCCTCCTCATTCAAATTGATTGACAGGAGCGAGAGTCAATGGCTCCTGCTGCTATCGATCTCCTCAGTGAGGAGGGACAAAGGCAGGAGAGCCGCATAGAGTGCATGCTCATAGAATGTATTAAGGTACAAGAAAACCCTTCAGGCTTTAGAACAACTTTAAAGGATAAGTTCACCTTTTAAAACATGTTACATGATACACCCATTTTTAGGGTGTAACATGCAAAATGTTTTTTTGTTCAGCTCCTCACCCTCTCACTGCCCAGTGTGACAGCGCGCGGGAGTTCCTCTCCCCGCACCCATTGAGAACCATCAGGCTGACGGGGCTCTGCCCACACAGTCACATAATGCATTCAAAGGAATCTGTGAATGAAAAACTACAAGTTCTGTCTGCCACCATGACATATGTTTTGGCAGTTTCAGGCTTCGTTCACACCATGTACAGAGATGTGCGTTTACTGCACACTTTCTGCACGAGCACAAAGAAATCAATTGTTCTCTATGTGCCCTGTTCACACCACAACACTAGTATAGTTTGGATTTTTTATGCTCCGGAATCTACAATGTGTATGCAATTTTCTGCATGAGAAAAAACTGACATGACATCAACATTGTGGTGTGAAAAGGACACACAGAAAGTAATTGTTTTTTTTGTGCTCTTGCAGAGAATTTATGTTACATATTTCTGTGCAGAAAAAACTGACGTGACAGCAGTGTAGAAATTCACATGAAAACTGATGTAAGCTTGTGGCTCTGCAAGTCAAATCTGCACAGTTTTTCCATAGGTTTTTATGCACGTATGGGTGTGAACGAGGCCTTAATGAATTGTGGGCATGCTAATCAGCACATGCATAGTTCATTCAATCTGCCAACAACTCTGAAAATGACAGCCCATACAGAGGTACGGACACCAGGGCTGCAGGCAGTGTGTGCCTGACATTGGACCTGTAATCCGCTGATCGCGAGTGCAATGCTTTGCAGGCTCCTATGTTAAAAAATAGTAAATGCACATTTTTTTACCTGCAAAATGGTGTGCATCTAGTATATTTTAATGAAAGGTGAACTTTCTATATAATTAAATAATATTGGAAGGGTTATCAAAAGAAAAAAACTCCAATTTCAGGAACTTTGGTGCTAAATATTTCTTTCATAATAAAAGGAAGACAACTGAGGTGCAAAGATCAGACATATATAGAGGCTATCATTGTACACCTGTATTTTTTGAACTGCCTGCTTGACATCAGGACAGAGACAGATTGGCCACAGGAATTGCTTTTAACACATATAGGTAAAATAATGGTGGCTTTCGCATGAGCTGAAAGTTATTGGTATCCTTTAAGGGCAAGTTAAAGTTAACCTACTTGTAACGAGACAGAAGCAGAGGAAATGCACATGGGATATGAAGCAAATATAGAAATTTCCATTGCTGACTTTCCTAAAATGCTAGCAGCCGGGCCAACATACATATCCAACTTCAATATTTTTAGAGAAACAGACCTGAACATAGAAGCACATTAAAGTGTAGCTACAAAGAGCGATCCAGTGGTGTCCTCACCCCGAGCCAATTCTTCAATCAGTAGTCAGGCGCCACCATCTTTACTAAGAGAAACAGAAAACTTCAGGCTTCAGGCACCTGCTCACCCCTCCTTCCCAAAAGGTGCCAAATGTGGCAGCAGAAAAGGGGGGGGAGGCAGATAAGCGGAGCTTCCACTTTTGGGTGGAACTCTGCTTTAAGAAACACAGTGAGAGCAAACACTTTTTGTTTACACTTGTTTCAGCTTAGGGGCTCAATGGAGTAAAGCCACTGATGCAGATTTAAACTAAAAGGTCAACCATGGCAGCTTCCATACATCCTCAATACAAGTTTCCTTCGATTAAAAAATTGGTAATAAAGGAAATTATGTACCAAATGACCAGTTAATGAAAAGCTATAGCTTTAGCCATACACAACAACATAATATGATATTATTATCATGTGCTTATACAATCAACAGATGTATGGATCCAAAATGGATAGAAATCTAACCAAGATGCATGAGAGCAAAAAGAAAACAAAATAAAAGAGCAGGAAAGGTTTCTCCACACCTGTCCACAATGACAGAGATGAGCTTAAAGCGATTGTAAACCTCTGACATGAAATATGAAGAAAGCATATCCTTCTATACTGTGAACTTGTTACTAACCAAGGCACGGAGTATGATTTCTCTCTGCTGCCTAGTTCTAACAAATCTTTCCAACTCTAAAAGATAATTAGTGATAGGGAGGACAGCTGTAGCACATATCCTGTGACTGTCAGACACAGCTGTGCAAGTTCACAGTATAGAAGCATATCCTTCTATACTGTGAACTTGTTACTAACCAAGGCACGGAGTATGATTTCTCTCTGCTCCCTAGTTCTAACAAATCTTTCCAACTCTAAAAGATAATTAGTGATAGGGAGGACAGCTGTAGCACATATCCCGTGACTGTCAGCCACAGCTGCGCAAGTTCCTGTGTACTGTGATGTGAGATGTGTGTCCCTTTCCTCCAACTAGGACTCAGTGCTCACCTTCAGAGAGGTGCTGTGTAAAATCTGCGTTATACGAAGATGTACAACAAATTCTGCAGATATACAGATACAACTTATGCAGGAAGATTTGTTTCATCTCTGTGTAAAGACAGTCAATTCACTGGGTTTATTGCAACTGGTTTCCATAACTTTAAAGCAACTTGTTGCAACCCACTGAGATCCTATATGAAATCTTTAATGTGGCTTTTAGCACTAGATGAAAAAGTACTGTAAAGTGATGGGGCCAGGCTAAATCTCCTGGGTATGGAATATGTAAATTAGTAAAATCTAACCCTTAACAAAGAAATAGAATCATTATGGTATAAATGATTGCCAACAATGGTTAAATACTGTATACTGTACAAGTATTTTGTCGATTACACCATTATAATAAGAACTACAGTACATGTCTGCTATATGAGCTTCATGAATTATTCACTCTCAAAAAGAAAGATTCAAGCATGTGTCAATTACAAAGAATAGGAAGAATAGGAATGACACTATTAAAGCAGTACTAAACCCCAAAACAAAAACTAAATATTTTGCAGCTTAACTATACTTAAATATGGTGACTGCACATTTTATATCATCTGGAAATCCAGCCACTTAAGGGTTGAGTTACTAAAACTTAGAGAGTGCAAAATCTAGTACAGCTCTGCATAGAAACCAATCAGCATCCAGGTTTTATTGTTAAAGCTCAATTAAACAAGCTGAAGCTAGAAGCTGATTGGCTACCATGCACAGATGTGCCTGATTATGCACTCTCCAGTTTTAGCAAATCAGCCGCTTACTGCCTTAGGGAGGTTGAACTCTGGATGGAGGAGTTCCCTGTGTCTTTAAGGAGGAATGGGCTCCCCCCCAGGCATACCTGCCCTTAATTTATCCTCTGCTATATACAGTTAGGTCCATATATATTTGGACACAGGCACGTTTTTTAGTTTTTTTCAGGTATTTATCAAAACATATTCAAGCTATAGTTATATAATGAATGCAAAATATTCCACTTCTTTCCCTTCAAAAGCTCCTGGGTTGCTTTTGCAGTGTGTTTTGGATCATTGTCCATCTGTACTGTGCAGCACCGTCCAATCAACTTTGCTGCATTTGGCTGAATCTGGGCTGCCAGTATATCAATATACACAGCAGAATTCATCCGGCTGCCTGTCTTCTGTTCCAAGCCTTCTCCACACTTTTTTCTTCCTGTCATTCTGGTACAGATTAATCTTAGTTTCATCCATCCAAAGAATGCTTAACCAGAACTGCTCTCGCTTTTTTAGATGATTTTTGGTAAAGTCTAATCTGGCTTTTCTATTCTTCAGGCTTATGAATGGTTTGCACCTTGTGGTGAACCCTCTGTATTTGCTCTTGTGAAGTCTTCTCTTGATTGTAGACTTCGACAATGATACGCCCACCTCCTGGAGAGTGTCCTTCACTTGTCTGAATGTTGTAAATGGATTCTTCTTTACCATACAGAGGATCCTGCGATCATCCACCACTGTTGTCTTCAGCAGACGTCCATGCCTTTTTATGTTGCTAAGCTCACCAGTGCATCCTTCTTTCCTCAGAATGTACAAAACTGTTGATTTGTCCACTCCTAATGTTGCTGCGATCTCTTTGATGGATTTGTTTCATTTTTGAAGCCTTACAATGTCCTGTTTCACTTGCATAGACAGCTCCTTTGAACACACGTAGCTTCACAGCAATAGATTCCAAATGAAAATACCACACTTTCATATCAACTACAGACCTTTTACCTACCTAACTGATGAAGAAATAATGAAGAAGTAGCCCACACCTGGCCATGAAACAGCTTTTGATTCAATTGTCCAATTACTTGTGGTCCCTTGAAAAAGGGGGGATAGCTACTCTTAAGAGCTGTAATTCCTAAACCCTTCCTCCAGTTTGGATGTACATATCCTCAAATTAAACCTGAGAGTGTGCACTTTCAGTCCATATCCATTATATAACTATAACTTGAATATGTATTGGCAAATACTTGAAAGAATTTAAATTGTGCCTGTGTCCAAATATATATAGACCTAACTGTATGCTCCAACTTGGAGATTCTCAAATTAGAGAGTTAGGACTACACTTTACAGAGGTCACTTGGTAAGGCAGTGCAACTTAACATATATCTGCAAATGTGTGCAACTAATATCTCGGTTTTTAATATAAATTGTTAGTGATTTTTTTTTTTCAGGCTGATAAGTGTGCTTGAAACGTTTCTGTTTGTTTGTAAGGAGGAGCAACAGAACCAACTTTGGGCAGCAGAATTATTCATATGGGAAGAGGGTAATGTTATACACGGATTTAGATGGTATTGACTGACAAATGTAGACAAATTCCAGCTAAAGGCAGATACAGATACAACCTTTTTAACTTTGGGAGTTTTACAAAAAT